ACCGGTATTATACTGGTAGAGATACAGGTAAAGATGAAAGCATTGAAAATTGGGTTTACAGCACTGTTAGTGCAGCATGGTTAGTGTCAGATTGTTATCTGATAGAGTTTGCTCCTAGTACCTGGGAACAAAAGGTCTGGGACTTGATAATCAAGTGGATAAAATCGCAAAACGCCGGTAGAGCATAGAGCATACCTGCTCAAGATTGATTTGTTCAGATTCTTGACTAAGGGGTGCGCTACTTGAGTCGAGGGCCAAGACTTGAACTTAGAGGTTTGGCATGTCACTGGACATTCCTCTCGATTTCTGCCCAAATCTAATAAAGCCTCAGTTGCTTAACTTTTGCCAAATTTCCAATATCTACAGGTCGTGTTGTTTAATGCTTGGGGTCTCTTCTCTGGCGGCGGTTAATTGGGGACACCTGTGCGGCCTGTCAACCTACCTAGACCCAATTTTGCTAGTGCCACATTTTCCATTGCCGTTAACATCAAATATGTAAATAGAATGAGGAATAATGACAGTTAAGAAAAAGTGTTTGGAAGTACCTGTCACCTTCGCCACAGCAACCGCATGGGCTATGCTGCCCCACCTCCACAGGCGACACCTTGCGGAGCAAGCCTGCGTAATCCAGGGTGCAACTGAAAATAATCATGTCGCGCGACCCTATTGGCATCCCTGCTTCTCATGTGCACCCTGCAACTTGCAAGACACACTTGCGCCTTTCCATTTCAAACTTTCCTCTACCTTTACTAACTCTGCACCCCTAATTCGTAGGGGCCGTACGATCCTAAAATCCGTGCGTTCGGTTGTGACCGAGGTTTTTTACATGCATTTTATACGTGCATGTGTTATATAATTTATCGACGAAGTGAAAACTATAACCGTTCCAATTGGTAAAAGTCCCAGCACTGAGGATATGGTATGTGAGCGTCCACATTATACATGCACATACGTATATAAGGAAGCTAGGTGAGGCGTGGAAGGTATTTCATGAGCAAGCGATGTACTCTCCATTTGGTGCTATTAGATACGTGTACTGTATAAAGCACAGATGTATTGGTTTTTCGTCAAAGCATAATGCACATAATGTTACCCCAATAACAAAAAAGAGAGTCGAGAAAGGTCTATAGGCCCGAAATTGTAATACATTTACCAGTATTTGTTGCAGTATACATGTATGAATTACAGCCAGCTATATAAATGGTCACGTAACCAAGTGAAAGAGAAACAATGCTGTTTTTTTCTTTTAGGCCAGGATTATAAACACATTGGTAAGGGTTTCACGGGACGGGTCCAGGATTATTTAAAGCGGGTCCAGAATGACACACCTCGGATGCGAAGTCGACCATCACCCCCATGGTGTGAGGTTTGAGGCCTGATCAACGGCCCCGACAAAAATTGTGTTTTGGAGAGCAAATAGTGCCCTTTGGTACAATATGTACGAACTATGATTTAGCCATTCAAAATTCTTATTTCAAGAGGGGAATATTGGTGTGATATATTTTTCAGAAACCAAATTTTCAGGACCCCCCTGTCCCCCCTCTAAATCTGCCAGTGGTTCAATTTTCAGATAGGTCTGAAAGATTTGTTTGATGGAGATACCCTTTGAACTCCCATGAGATCGCATGCGTGGAAAAACACACGTTCCCAGAGAAGGAAGCAATAAAATTATACACCACGAAACGAAAGAGGACATTTTTATAGAAACATTGATATATTTCGTGTCGGTACTCCAGAACAATAACATTAATGAAGAGACTGTACGTTATAATGGGAATCAGCTCAAATGAAGAATCTAAATGTAAAACGTCGACCAAAACATATGCGCAGTGGAGGGCGCGAGTCCATGTTAATGGCTGTGGCACTGATATTCATGAGAGTTGAAGGTGCGAGTATTGCTATCTTTATCGTACTTATTTTAGACCATATGTTGACTCTAGTGGGGCTAAGAAAAAAATTGAATGTCAAATTTGTTGTTAAGTGAGACGACATAAGTAAGCATGAATATGCGGTACTTGTTGTAGTTGCTTAAATTCAAGGTCACTATTGACTTACCCAGGTCTATTTTTAGAACCCGTATATTTACCAGTACATGTAACTAAAGGGGAATTCCCTTTTTTAATCTACGTAAATTTACAGGCAGTAGGGGTTACACAATCTCCACATTTTAAAGTAAAAAATGTAAGTTGCTCTTGACTCCCCCTCCTTCACTGAAGATATATCATACTGGTATGTCAACCACTAATCCTGTCTGGAATCTCCAACACGACGGGCGTGCTGGTCCAAAATCTCTTCCACTGGGTCTAAGTCAGTTGAGTGTGGTTATATGGAAGACTCTGATCACATTAACCCCCATTAATATGTGTCTTGATATATAAAGTGATCAGCACTGCTATTAAAAGAGGTGCATGTAAGGTGAGTGATATACTTCGGTTAGACAAACACATAGAAAATAATAAAATAATGGTTAAGGAGGGGTGACAGTTGGCGCGCTGCCTTCACGTACATGTCCCAATAAGCATATTCAGACATGCTAAATTCCCCTTTACACTGGGCGGCGTCCTTTCTGCGTCCCTTAGTATTGTCCCGTTTGAAAGTAAAACTAATTATTATTCACGTTCCGACAACTGGCCAATCATTGCGCATTCATTCTGCAAACAAAGCGCTGCTTGTGCCTCCTTTTTACGACCACGGCGATGCCAGTTTCATGGTCGCACAAAGCAGTTTCGGATTACGGAAGGGGGTGTCGGGGGTGTGTGTTTGTGTGTGTCCTGAACCCCCTCCGGTTTCTGCAATAGAAATTTCACCAATATTCTAATCCCCTTTTGAAATTATAATTTTGTCTTGCTAAACCATAGTTCTTAACAGCACCAAATAATACCGTTCACCTTCGAAAAAAATTGGGGGCCCCGCCTTGAACCCCACGCCAAAGGGGGAGAGCATCGGCTTCACATCCAAAGCATGCCATTCCTAACGGACCCCTCCCCCCGGCAAATGACACAAAAAGGAAGGCGGCCAGTGCAAAGTGGGTTTAATTGAAGTCAGGTGATTATACTATTGTCACCAATTACAACAACCCCATGGTGACTGACGTCCTGAAAAGCTATCTGTTAGAAAAGTATGCAGTTAATGTTACGCTCTCAATGACAATTCCGGTTTCAGTTTCAATTCTTTTTAAAATAGCTCATAAAAACTTTATTTTTCTAAGAATATTGTTAGATTTAAAAAACTAAATCGCAGTTTCATTTTCGTTTTAAATAAAGCTTTATTTATCTATATATTCATTTATTTACTTTTCATTGAATTTCATACAGATATTTCCAAGCAAAATCTTTTATGACATATTTTATTATTATTGCTTTTTCAGATGTATATTTTTCCGTAAATATTTCCAAAGTATTTGGACTGTATTTGGGATTTGAAGTTTTAAAATAATTACAAACTTAAAGTGTTTAGGGGAAAAGACACTGTACATGTATATGTTGACAAGAAAGGAAATTCAAAAAGATACGGTTCAATTAAATATGACAAATATATTCCACATTTGAAATCCAATGCTGGTCTCGATTTCATATGTACCCTCTATTTCAAACACAACCCCGAAAAAAGGGATTTCAGTGTTGTTTGAAACCCCGTATTAAGGAGTAAAATTTTGCTGTTTTGTGTTCTCTAATTAGGTGCAATACCCGCCCGAGTGCCGGTCGGTGGGACTTTTACCTACGTATGTCCTTCCATAAGCCATTGCGAGAATGTATCAACGCTCCTGGGAGTGACTTTCTACACCAAACCAAACTTCCTGTTGTTCACTAATGCCACAAATTATACAGTGTACGGTGAAAATTTATCAGTCGAATACAAGAACAGACTGTCTGCAGAGTACAGGCATCCTAACAGTGTGTTATATATACGGAATATAAGCTGCTCGGATCAGAAACTTTATAACTGCAGCGTACATTGCAAAGGAAAACCATTTCGCACTTTTACTGAAGATTTGGAAGTTTTAGGTAAGGTCGGAGAAAATGTCTATGTGGTTAACGAGCGGCGCCCCTCTTTTAAACTTGGCTGCCAAACAGAATTCTTTTTTTCTCAGAATTAAAGGATAGGTCTTGCTTGTTAACGAGCTAATTAATTTTGCCTGATTTCATTAAAGTATTTCTTTGATTAGTAGGTGGACAACGTACTATTTGGGATGTATGTGGTTAGCATAATATTGTCTGATTTCTACCAAACACAAAAATCAAGAAAGAAAAGAAATACAGTTAATTATACCGCAATGCCCTTATCCATCTCTCTCTCTCTCTCTCTCTCTCTCTCTCTCTCTCTCTCACACACACACACGCACACACACACACACACACACACGGAAGAAAGAGCAGTGACATGTATATAAAGAAGTGAAGGTATGAACAACATTTCCTGTTTTTTATCAGTTGACTCCGGTCCGCCGTCCATAAATATGAACGTTCTACACGATTCATCTGGTTTGGTGGAAATCCGTTGCTATGCAAAACTTGGCAAGCCCCGCAAAACCATTGAGTTACTTCCAGATGCCACAGGGGTCAACAATTCTACGTTCGACAATTGCAGCGAATATGGTGAAAGAAAAGTAAACGTTACGCTGAAGGCAGAAGATGATGGGAAAACTTTTATATGCCGAGTGGAAAATAGATCGGATTCCGTAACATTTAGTAATTATCTTATAATTTTAACACTAACGTTTTATATAATTTCGGGACAGACGAGACTAGATTGTAAACTGTTGCCTCTTAATTTTACCTCTCTTTCTCTCTCTCTCTCTCTTATTTTATTTTAGTTATTATTATTATTATTATTGTATATTAACATTGCAATTTCTCTTTAGTTGCAGCAAAAATTCCTCGAATAAGTCTGATCATCAAGAGTGGTAACATAACACATTCTTCACGTGTTATCCGTATTGCGGAGCGATCTTCTGTTGTACTAAATTGTTCATCGGAAGGGCATCCGCGGCCTTTTTACACATGGAGATTCGTGTCGACTGCGTCCAGCAGGGAAAAAACTGAAATGGGGAGTTCCTTGGAGCTAAAGCATAGTCCCAGTGGAGGTAATGGCACCTGGATATGCCAAGCATATAATTCAGCCGTCGTTCACCGACCAACAGCCTCCATAAGGATTGAAATGTTACCCGTACACCGGTCGCCAGAAATGGGTAGGTACTTGTATAGTAATGTAGATGAGTATTTTAGCAGCCAGTTATCCGTGTAGTGTGAAGAAGAAAAATACACGTATAAAACTATTATCGAAGAAAAAGCAGCAGTTTTATATTTACAGTATGTCAATATATTCAAAGATGTAATATCAGATATCACTATTATCCTCATATATGTATGGATATTTTTATTACGGTAGGTTATGTATTCCTACTTTCGTAATAAAATTTCCCATACCGACTTTTATGTTTGCACGTTAAGTCTTTTTTTTTAGATTTTTTTTACCAGTTTTATATTGTAAAGTATTCATAAAATGATGAATAATTGGGTCATGTTGAACATAAGTTTGTTATTTCTATTATAATTGTTGTTGTTATTATTATTCATCGTTTACAGTCACCGCCTTTCTGCCTACGTCGGTTATACTGATAATAGTATGCAGCGTATTCGCTAGTGTCGGCGGCATTGTCATCTTCATAATCCGTGCGTGGGTTAGACGCACAAACTATTACGAATCTACAGCGCATGAAGAGGGTTCGTCTATTTTTTAAGAATAAGGAGGCATTCAAGATTATTATTATTATTATTATTATTATTATTATTAGGCCTATTATCTGGATTATCGTTACATATAACTGTGCGATAATTCTAATCAAGATTGCTTGAATGTGATATTTTAAGGAATTATGTGGATCATTTCTTTGTATAAGTGAAGCAGGTGACAAAGACGGAATTTTAAGTATTTGCTTTTTATCTTTATGCTTAACTGAGTAGTGTTTTGAAATTAACTGGGTCAGACTTTGATTCTAGTGTCGTTGAACCCAATGACCAGTATACATGGACCCGACGAAGAGATAAACAACATTCAAACGTAGGTTATAATGGGCTTTTGTTGAGAAATTTACAAAATTTTATTAAATTGATACTGTAAATTTCCCCAACAGAACAACTTATTAGTATTTCCGTTTATTGCATTATTTTACTAGCTAGCTAAGAAAACAAAGACAACATCACAACGTAATGTATAGTTTTTATAATTGAGGCGTTTATCTTTTCGCAGTGACGATGAAGGAGAGGCTGAAAATTACCTAACTCCTGTACCCAGGAGACCCATCCTCGGCGCTTCGGATACCCCTGTAGAGCAAGGCGTTGATAGGCGAGACCCGCCATGCCGACAAGTTTCCATTATGGAAGAGATTGGGAGCGGGCACTTCAGTACAGTTCACAGGGCAAACTTGACAACAACCACCGGCCAAGTTGTTCTCGTGGCAGCAAAATTATGCAGAGGTTCGTATTTTTTTAACTTAGATTACATGCTGTAAAACATGTACTTATTTGTAATAAAATATTGTCAGTGTTGAAATGTTAACGCAAACTGACATGGTAAAGTTGTTATTGTGGATTCTACATGTTTCTAGTTACCGCAGTGCTTCTCTCTGGATGTAGAGAGAAATTGCCAAAATTCTGCAAGGCAGGTAGAAGGGAAAACATCAAGTAATTAAAGCATACCGCTAATTTAATTGTAGTTTCTTTTCATCAAGGTGGTGCATATGAAAAAAGGGAATTTGAACGAGAAGCCGAAATTATGAAGACAGTCTCCAAACACCCAAACGTTGTGGAATATCTGGGCTATGCAGAATCGTCGGGTACAATACTAATACTGATAATAATATTTATGGATGAGGTATAATGGACATTTATCTATTGTAAAAATTAATTCCATGACTTATGACCCACGTATTATAGTAAGATCCTCTTTTGTTTGAAATAGAGTTGGAGGGTGGTCGTAGGGCGTGTCACAAGAATGATACCTTACTTGGCTCGATTCCTGGGGCAAATTTTATACTACAGGTGACTAGGATAATGTTACGATGCAGTAAATTTACCTTTTTATTTCATTGTGAAGGGAAAAGGGCTACTCAAAGTTTTTAAAGAGGAAACCCCTATACATGCACGTATGTGTCTTTGTATAGCCTAGTTTCCTAAAGAGATGGGGGGGGGGGCATTTACTCAGTCCTTTCTGATACAGAAATGCACCGTCCCATCCAAGTCTGCTTACCATCATTATATGATATCAGATATTATAATACATGTAACACATCTTGATCATTCAGGTACATCAGTTCTCCTCCTTGAATTCGCCACTTGTGGTGATCTGCTCCATTTACTGCGGAACAGTCGTGATGTTGGCTGCTCACTACATCCGGGCAGTACAAAGCTGTCACTAACAGATCTTATTTCGTTTTCTCTTCAAGTCGCAAAAGGAATGGAACACATATCTAAGCTAAACGTAAGCATGTTAACTTTTAATAAAAGTTTTTGTGTGATAAAATTTTGAGTGCCACACGTATTTCACTAAAATGTACCCAGCATTTGCTATACAGCGTCAAACAGTTTACAGGTTTGATAATTAAGTGTTTTAGACTCAAGAAAATAAGTAGATACTAACAGCTTTAGAATGCACATACTGCCCACCTTCAATAGCATGAATAATATTAATAAATGTTTTACCCTTTACAGAAAGTCTGTGATATTGCAAATTTTCACCTTTTCAGAACCTATTATTCAGAAACTAACATTTCTTTGCAAATAAGGCAATCAAATAACATATTCCACGGCATCAAAAATCTCACTTGGAAGGTCTCCTTTTATTTACAGAGAGCCACATTTTACTTGCATATCTCTAGTGTAAATAACTTTTTTTATTTGCCAAAGAAGAGTACATATATCGTTGCGATCAGCAATAATTTAGAGTGTTTTTTATTTGTTATTTTTGTTCTGTCACTGTAGTTGCTGCACCGAGATCTTGCTGCACGGAACGTCCTCATGTTTGACAACAGAGTGTGTAAGATATCTGACTTTGGACTGGCTAGGAATATAGCAGAGAGCAGACAGTATGAGAGGCAGACCTCTGTACGTAGACTAAATTGTCGCTCTACCCCAGATTAACTTAATTTAGGCATATATTGTCATTTTAGCCGATACCAGTTCAACAAGAATACAGCAATGCTTGCAGTGCAATCTCTTAAACTTAATGTTTTTCTACACTGTTAGCGAATTCAGCCAATATTTATCACCGGATGGTAATTTTAATATTACACAAATAACTGTTTTCTGTGGAAATGCAAAATAATGAAATTCTTTTTCATCTAAAAGCGTATTGGGTTTAAATCGATTTCGCTCAACATGCAGTATTTGTCGAGCAGTCAAAAATGCAAACTACTAAAACATATACGTCGACCATATATGAAAAAGGTCTAGGTTACGATGCGTTCTGGTTTCTTGCCCCCACCCCAACTATGTCCGCCAATGCATTTCTAATTTTAGGGTCCACTTCCGGTCAGATGGATGGCCCCTGAGTCGCTTGCGGACAACATATACACTACTAGAAGCGATGTTTGGTCCTATGGTGTTTTGATGTGGGAGATTTTCGCACTTGGTATGACATTGGATGAAAAAAATAGAATCATTTCTTTGAAAAGAACAAGTACTACATAGATTTTGGGGTCTTGGCTCTAAAGTACATATTATGAAGGAACGGGTTTACTACAAGGGTTCTTTCTCTATTTTAGATATGTTAAATATATGTAAAAAAACAAGAAAACACTAGAGAGAATTAAGGAATCCTTTGAACAATCTTAAAATCAGATTTCACATAATGTTTTTATGCAAGTACCAACGCCAACACGTGTTATTTACCATACTCGAAAAATGTACTGATATAAATGTCCCTGAAATAATTTTAAACTCCACCACCAAGTATATTTATGTGATACATTACACACGCTTTAATTTGGTTTCATTTTGGATTTCCAGGGAGAGCACCCTATGCTGGATTTAGCGGTGCACAGACTTTGGAGTTTGTTATAGCTGGCCGTACCTCTCAATACTTACGTAGACCAAGCTGCTGCAGTCCTGATATGTAAGTGTAGTCTGCTTTATATATTCATTATTTTTGTCATCTCCTTTGCTCATAAGTATTACTAATTTTGGTGTTTATCATTATAAACAATGACCTCGACTCTGACACTCACACCCACCATCAGTTTTATGCCAAACAAGTAGGAAAAAAACAAAAGGCTGGGTGTAAGCTATCCGAAAACAATCACTTGGGAGTAGGAGCGGGGTATACTCTATATCTATACGTGATTTTGAAAGGCATCGTAACTAACTTAACTTCAGATTTCGGTACTTTTGGTTTAGTCAGAATGTTATGACATATAAAGGGCTCAGCTGTATGTGTCAAATCAACAGTAAAATAGATACAGTCAATAGTGTTTGCTTGCTCGTGAGCGTGCTGCGTTCTCACCAATTTCTTCAAAATTGATTTTTTAAGTTCAATTGATGCTGACATAAATATTCATAAATATTATTGGCCGTAAACTACATAATTTACACGGCTATTTTGTTGTAATTCACTATTGTTTTCTCTCATATTTAGATACAGAGTGATGCAGCGCTGTTGGGCTGTGGAACCAGGAGCACGACCGAATTTTCGGGCGCTAGCGAAAACTATATTCGCCATTTCCATCAGTACAAGTCACGTATGACTGCTAAGGGAGGAGGTTTGGGAAACGCACAGAGTAGTGGGTAAAACATGCAAGAAACATATACCCGTAAGCCTATATCATAAACTGTCATTTTTCAGGCTAGATTGGCCGTGTTGGAACCTGAACAGAATTAAATGCAACAGAATTTACTTCATCACATTGTATTTTCCTGAAGTCTCAAAAGCATCATACTAAAAGCTCCACAGAGTCCCCGCACGGCCAGGAAACATGAAATGTCCGAGATAACTGCCAATTACCATAGAAATATACATTCATGGTCTTACCAGCTCACACCCCTACTTCAGCCCAATCATGCACTAGACACTGCCTACGTGTATTACTTTATTGCGGATCATATTATCATACTTTGCATAAATTCTAAATGGCCTCCAACAGTCAAAAAATAATAATTCCCATAAACATTGGCTAGAACATTGAATTATTTTACTTTCTGCTGTAGAGATCATTACACTGTACAAACCGCTGACGAGTTTTCAAAATGGGAGTTGTACACACGTACTAAGAAGTTTGCCGTGTATTGCCTAGCCTGCCCTCAGCAAAATGCACATATTTTCAGAAATAGGCAAACTAATTCGTTGTCGATAGCACCAGTAGATGGCAGCACCATACAGAGTCTGATTTAATACAGAGTCTGTACAATGGTGTCCAAAAAAAAAAGCACTTGGCACAAATGTAAAACTGTCCAGTGCAAGGCCAAGAATTCAATCAGTATTTTCAATCATATTATCAGATTCTACATAAATTGACTGACAATATCACTATTTAATTAATCTCTTAATCCAAAATTCCTATCATCATTTAGTAATTTTGCAAAATTCTTCTTTCAGATTGCTATTTATTCTAATTTTTGATGCTGCAACTGTTCCAAAATAATGTTGCAGTAAAGGAAAAATGCAAAAAAGAAGTGGAAGACAAATTTTACTCAAACTATTCAATTATTTGAATTTAAAAAGAATAAGATCACGATTTAACAATTTAAAATAATCTGTCATGAACTCTTTCATGAATAACATATTAAACAAAATTAAAGTTATAAATTAGTGGTAATGGCTTATTCTCGAATATATGACCTCTGCACATCATCAGTGCCTGACTTGGTACAGTATAGTTACTACTTGGATACAGAGTTAGATTTAATGATGTAACAATAAGAGAAACATACATGTATATTACAATAAACTTCTCTGCACATGTCAGACGCTTGTTACCATGAACTAACACTACTTGACAATGGGCTGAGCGAGTCTGTGTGCGATGCCATTGTTGTGCTGTGATTGGCTAGTTGAGTCACGTGAAGCCCTACTGTAGCGCCCTCGTGTATCGCGTGAATTCTGCGCATTTCTGGCCATGTAAAAACATACAAGAACATCCAATTCATCACAGAAGGTACATTACATTACAAATACAAAAAGATATACTATATCAGTGCAGTTTTGTAACTTAATACAATACATACACGTTCATGGGTGCACAGTCACTGGAGTGTCATTTTAATATTGTAAAACGTACAATACAATATATACAAAATTCTACAGTACATTACAGAAGACCTAAACTGAACAATACGTAACAAAGCGAAGTTATACAGTGCACCAGTATACAAACTAGAGACATTAATGGTTGTGTGTCTTAATATAATATAGTGTATATGCACATTCATACACACATTTTCACATACAACCTCACACACCCAAAGGAGCACGGACACTGTAGTACACACAAAAACTTATAATACACATACTCAGTCATTGAAATACTGATCTTATATAGTACAAAAAATAAAAAAGCACGTATTATGGACAGTTTTGTTTAATTATTGTTGTACCGCTAATATCTTATCGATGTTTAGCCAAATCTGTTAGCCAAATCTGTAAAATGAGAACCTGGTAATATTTCTATAGCATCTGACATATTATATTAGCCCTACCCAAGTGGGGGGTTCGGATCTGGACCTGCATATGCTAATGTATTTCTTAGATATCAATGTAAGTAAATACAGGCCTTCTATCTTAAATTGTTGTACAAGACCAACTAAGAACACTTTGGGATGCCTCTCTATATTCGTCTTCATACTTTCCCTTATAGCATTAATAAGGCAAGTCCAGATATTTTGTACATATGGACATTCCCAAAATACATAATATATTGTCTCTTTGGCAATATTGCAAAACTCGCACAGCTGAGATTCTTTTTTCTTTATTTTCATTAAGTATGAATTTGTGCTAAAAATTCTATGGTTGATTCTAAATTGCAGAGATTGTAATTTTGTGTCATCCGTCTCCACCCTGAGCTTCAGAGATAACTTGACACTAACCTATTCACTATAGCCTATCTTCATCGTGTCAAGTTACCTCTGACGAAAATAGTTTGACCTAGTTTATATAAGCCAATCGAATCCATGTTTCAAAAATTTTCTCCAAAGTTTGGTGAAAACGCTGATTGGTTGAAAGTCCAGAATTATGTCCAATGAGAAAATTGTATTTCGTTGCGTCCGCATAACCGTCAATCGGCAATCCTCGGCTGATTCTGCAAGCTCCATACTAACAACAAAGTTATTGTCGAGTGCGGAGACATCCGAGTAGTTCCGAGTGCATAACCGTACACAAAGAAAGCATGGCGTCTCCTACGAGTGACTACGTAAAAGAATGTGTTAAGTTATCTCTTGATTCTTTGCAAATTATGAGTATATCGGAATTGAAACCAGAGCAGTTTGAGCCCCTGCATCATTATCTACTGAGGGATGATGTATTTTGCGTGCTGGTCCGGATTTGAACAAAGCGCGCTTTGACTCGTTCGCGTTCATTGGCTAGATCGTTCAATGAGTCATTGAGGGCGGTCTTTAAATTTGATAGGCGGGCGGTGCGGGCAATCGAATGTGGTCAGAGGTAACTTGACACGATGAAGATAGGCTATAGTGAAGAGGTTAGTGTCAAGTTATCTCTGAAGCTCAGGGTGTCCGTCTCAGAAAAAAAAAACGATCTAAATATCAAATGCCATTTCTCTTCGTCTAAAATTTCCCCAATATCTGTATGCCATTTGTTTATTGCTTTTCTAGGGTTTTTTATCAAGTTCTTAGATGTAATTTTAGTAAAAGTATCTGGACGGCTTTGGAACACTCTTCATGGCATTGCTGTTCTTAATGCAGATGCTTTCTAAACGTTTACCATTATTCAAAATTGCCTTTCGCCACTGGACGGGAATACTATTTTGGATGCTCATGTAGTTGAGGAAATTACTATTTAGTTTATATTTTCTATTAAGCTCTTCTAGTGATATGAATCTACCATTGTTATCAATAATATCATTTATGTAGAAAACTCCATTTCACAGCCATTTTTACAACAGATAGTTCTATGGTTAATTTTTATCTTGTCGTTTTTCCATATCGGTTGTGAGAGGATTTCTTCAACAGTTGTACTAGGGCTGTTCTGTATTTCTGCCCAAAAATCAACCACGTCTTGTCAAAAAACGTTATTTATTTTATTGACCTTAAACCCACACTTGTTAGGTTCCAAAAATTTTCTTTTCCGTATTCTTTGAGTTTGTTTGCGAGTATATTTTTCCAGCTTCTATTGTTTTTTGTGTCGAGAAATCTCTTTGTCCAGGACATTTTCACTGATTTAGCAAACAACTTAGTTTGTGGCACCCTGAGACCTCCTTTACTATATCCTGATATCAGGGTTGTCCGTTTAATTTTGTCAATTTTACTATTCCAAAGAAAATTAAAACTCATTTTATCCAATGTTTTGAAAATAAATTTCGGAGGGATTTGTTGCTTGGATTTGCTCTTTTACCAAGTCATACTGGTGTTGTTCGTATAGGCCTTGTTGTTGAGTGTTCGGGTTTTAAGCTTATTTTCTAATATCTTTTTTTCACAATTTCAGTTTTGTTTTTTCTTAGATGCATATTTAATTGTTTCACCTCTTATCATAAACTTCATCGTTTCCCAAATAAGATCATCGTTAATACTAAATTCCATATTTTTTGTGCTCTCTACTCTATATTGATCAACTACTTCTCTTATGCAATCATGTACTACTTTTACGTAATCTTCGACGCCGAGAAGACTATTATTGAACTTCCAAGTACCTGGCCCTCTAGTTTGGTTAATGAATTGTAGTTTTATATTCATAGGGGAATGATCTGATCTGTAGGCAATATTTATATCCGCACCTCTCAGATTATCTTGTAGGTCTGGGGAAATCAGAATGTAATCAAGTCTACTCCGTTTATTATTTGGCCCGCCCTTGGATAACGCAGTCTATTATTAAGTAATTTCCGTTTGTGTCCTTTATTTCATTATTAATTTTCAGTTCAAATGAGTGTTTGAATAAAATCGCCACTCCTCAGGCTCTGCTACTTGATGTGTAGGAGCAAAATCTAGCATTTCTTCCCCATTCATTTTTCCACATACATTCATGGTTTTTATTACAGTGGGTATCTACCAATGGGGTAATATCATATTTTTCCCTACATTTAATAAATATGTCCCTATTCTTTATCGGGTCTGATGATAAACCCCTGCAATTTAAACTACCGATCTTTATATAACTCGCAGTTACTTTTAAAGACAACTATCAAAAACTACTCTAAAGGAGAAGAGGTGCTGTCAACATACATGAGGGGATAACGACAGCTTGAATAGAAGTGTACGTCGTCTGTCCATATACTACTGTATATATTTCCATATTTGTGTGTTTCTTGCTTTCTATTAATAATTACATATGTATCTTTTTTTTTTTTTTCACTTTCATGCACATACATACCTGCACACATACTCTCATTCAAAAGAAATATAGCATAATACAACATAAAGGTCATAATGAATGCTTTTGTTGAAATAAGGTGAACAGTTGCTGTTTTCTTCACCATTTGCATCTAGTATAGAACAGAAATGTGATCATACCAGTTGTGAGGAGTCCCTTTATTTTGCATTCCCCTGGGCACTGACTGTAAGAGCCCACTACTAGTGCTATAACGTAATCGGTGTCTAATAGTAATACGTAATTGTCAAAAACCAGTTTGTCACACAAGTGCCGCAGGTTATTTTACGCTATACTAGTGATTGACAATGCCCTGCAATGTATACGATGCTACAACTTTACCTACATTGATATCAGGACAGAAGAGAGAAACTAATCTTATACTTTATATTCAGACCTATAATTCAGTCAATGCTGTGCTCTCAATGTCTTTTTTATTTTCTCCCCAATTCCATCGTAAATTCCAAACTTTACTTTAGTTTGATTGACCTGTCCGTAGACGCTGCAATTAAAATACCATGCACTATCTATATGTTCGTGTTGGCTGAGACTCTGTATAAGTTTTGTGTTCAAGTGCGTAACGTCATCAGCCACATGTACCCCTCTGCCTGCCAGTTTGATTGCTTTTCTTTTTTTTTTTTTCATAATTTTAGTTTTCACTTCGGCATTTCTCATCTTAATAATTATTGGTCTAGCTCCTCCCGCTTTTCCTGGGATTCTATGTGTGGCGATGATTTCGCTCTCCTGTAGTTCAACATTTAAGGCCTCTCTCAACGTTTTTATCACTTTTTCCTTCACTTTTTCGTCGTTAGATTCGCTCACTCCATATAAAAATTGTTTTTTTTTTTCTGGAATTTGTTTATTCTTATTTGAACGACAGTTTGCTTCCATGGCCACTGTTTATTGTCTTCCGAAGTTCCCTCAGCTCCCTTTCTCTCTCGGCCAGGTTTTCCTTCAGTGCTTGATTGTCCATATTTACACCGTCCATTCGATCTCTCATCTCGGTTATCATGCTGGTATGCCTTTCCTCTATTTCCAGAATACGCTCATTGAACTCTTTTTTATTTCGTTCATAACATCAAGCATAGATTGCTGTACTATCTTCCTTAGATCATCCGTTTTAACAGTGTGTTTCAATTCATTTTTTATCTATTCTAATTCGTTCAGTATCTCATTTTGTTGACTGAACCAATTCCCCTCTTCGCTGGTGCTTGATAATTGGCTGTGAGATCTCTTGCCACTTGGCGGCTTACAAGATCTGTTTTTAACCGTTGCATTCGGTTCGGCTGGAGTAAAGTATTTGGCGGTATTATCCATTGTCTATACGATATGTACTGTCAATACATGCGATTTTCACTTGATCGTGGAGTATATACTGTGTCCTAGGCCTATTGCGTTAGCTGTGACACCGCCATTTTGTACCGTATATGCGAGTCTACACATATCATCAAAAAGGTTGAAATGTGCACAATCGGTCAGTTTTAATTAAAATTATTAAGTTTTACAGCATTTTCCCTGCCTATTCATACCTTATCTCAGCTTGTTACAAGTCTACATTTTGGCTCGATCCTCCTTAAAAAAAGGTGTGTTTTGGGCCAAGCCCCCGATTCGTGTTTTCCGCTTCGCAAATCACGTGACCGATCCTGTATACAATATGTTTCGGCCAGCTCTGATACTTCGAAGCGCGTACTGATACACATCTTGAAAACGGGTAGTGAATTTAGGATCATTCGGTGCCGAGTCTGGTAGTTGGGTAGGCCTGACATCCATGGCTAATAGCATTTAATATGATTAATGGGATTAATCTCGCTTGTGTTACAATACCTGGCGGTGATATCGCCGCTGTGATCCTCTAGTTGTCTCATATTTGTACTGTATTAAAATTAATACCCCATATTATGCAGTTGTGCGACCCCCCTCCTCCCCAACTTGCTACGTTTTACTTATCACAAATATACATACAAATTACTCATGTGGACAGACAGGAAGTTTTACATGAGCCTTCTTTAAGTATCCACAAAACCCCTTCTGTATCCGCTTGTTTTTCTTTCTTTTTTTCTTTCTTTTTTTTTTTTTTCGTGCTTATTTCCTTTTGTTGTCTGAGGTCGTTTTTCGAAAGTGTTCACACGTGAGTATGATTTTTAAATTTTTTTTACTCAACTACCGTAACTAAACGACGTGTCTTGTTGCCGTTGTGGTTAGGAAGATATACTGTTTACAGAAAATAACACGATGAAGCAATCTTGCACGCATACAAATACGTTAAGGTGGCCTCATTGATGTGTCTGAGTCTGTTTAAGGGGATTCGATACGTTAAAATTTTATCCCTTATCCATTTAGAAAATGCCGAAATAAACAGTCATCTTATGGGATAATGATGTCACATCAAATATATATCAAGTTGTATTTGCTACTATTTTTGGGTTGAAAAATAAAATGTCGATTTCAATTAACTTATCTTCTTTAAGTGAACATCTATCAATACATTTCTAACGCCTATTTAATCCTAACAATATGTACTTCAATCTAGTGCCAGGACGTTTTCGTAAAGGGCTTACTATTGATTTCAATAAAATAAATAATATGTCTTTACTTAATGGATCATCGTGGTTAGGCGATTATTTCATCCAAACAAAAATATGTACTCAAATGGTGGTACCGGATTGCAGCACACAGCCTACATGTCCATCTTGTCAGTTTTCATGTTAATGTTTTATTTAGTTTCAGAGTTGGGTCGAAAACAGATCTCTACCTCACGCCAACTTAAGTACATGTACCAAGCAGAAAAACTAACGATAAACGCTTGGCAACATATGTGTGAAGACCAGTGAGGCGGTGAATAAAGCAACAAAATAGGAAATTAATAACCCTTGAATAGCCCTTAAGTGATAACTTTCATTGCTTTGATATTACGAAAAGGAAGTTATATAACGGAAACATGAAAAAAAATCCCCACATGTAGGCCTTGTTTACGAATACGCATTTTCAAATCTTCATGTTGTGTTGGGTTAGGATTTCAATTAAATGTTTTGATAAGACAGTATTTTCAATTGATCGAAATAGTTTAAGAAAGTGTAAACCCTACTATGCAAAGGGATACGTTAATTTAAAATTATTAAAATACAAATTGATCATTATTATATTAATCTGTATGTTTCAAAAATAAAAATGCAAAAAAAGGTAAGGGGGTGACATAAACGATACAATATAGTAAAGATAATTGGAGAACAAACGAAGAGGAAATGATGTTTGAAAATGAGAACAACCCAAATGCTGGCACAATCTTTCTTAAAACATGCCCAGGGACGGCAAAAAAGACAGACAATGCTTTGTTTGAGCCCTGGATATCTCCTTTGGCAAAAAAGATCAATGTACAAGTGTTTTGATATTAATGGTTTCCTCGGAGAAATGAAACAGAAAACAAAATTCTTCTCACGAGGTTGCGGTAACTGATAAGCAGATTTTCCTTTTCGATGTTTTCATTTAGAATCACATGACTGTGTGAGGATGTAGTATTGTCATCTCCAGTGTGCTCCTGCAAACTACGGGGTGTCTAAAAATACCATCATTTCACGGTTCATAAAACCTGCAACTTCACTTCATATCTGTACGTAATATGTTTAACTGTCTCCAATGACAAAACAAGGTGTTTTAGCGAAAATCAAGTCTTGTCCAGCCGACTCCGCCAAAAACAGTTTCTGAAAGAAAACTACAATTAAGAGAATTAATTGTATTTATGTAGCAAATGGTTTGTTTTAGTGGTGCTATTAACTTTTTGGTAATACATCAACGTTTTGTTTAGGTCTTGTGTCTGCACATTTTGACCTTAAGTAGTTGACCAAGACAAGGTGATAACATATGTCCAGGGTTAAGGAATGTCTTAGCTGCTGTGTATCAAGGTACACACAAGTATATTCTATGAAAGATGTTTTGGAGATTATTCCATCGAGCTGCATTCAGTGAGAAGTCATTCAGCTTTGTAGCTGCGGATATATTTACCCGCAGTTTTAGCAGCTACACTGTATTATTACTTACGTTTCTTTATTGTTATTTGTACACCCTCCACCCTCCCCTACCACCTGCCTTCATCCTTGTGGTGTTTTTAACACTTAGACTTATTTACTTTCAAGCGGCACCTGTGTGACATAATTAAGGGGGGCCCCTATTTGGACAGTGCCACTTTGCCTCTGGAAGGCCTGCTAATCAGAGGCATATGAGTTCAGTTATTCAGGAGACAGTTAATGCTCTCCCTCACTTTTCTCGTAAAATTCACAACATTAAGAAGTGCATTATTCAGGAGTAAAAATTTTGAGGTGATGTTTGGTAAACTTATTCAAACCCCCCCCCCCCCCATTTTTTTTCTCTTTCCATGCCTAATGAAGCAGATTTGAGCATTGGCTCAATGTAACATGGTTGTATTTATGCTTGTTAGCTATAACTCATTTGGCACATTAATTAGTCATTTCAGATTATCTGGTTATCATTTGTTTATTGATATATATCATACATGTGAGATTATTACTTTAAAACTATAGTTAGGTAAATGTACTATGCAGGGCATATGAGGCAGTACGTAGGCCAAGAGAGACAACTCTATGATTGGGCTGTCAGAGCAATGAGGAAACCTACGTCCCCGTCCTAAAAAGGTAGGGGTTGCGTAGCTCGCTCTCAGCCTAGGCCGGCTTTAGAATGTGCCTTTTGCCTTTTATTTTCATTTGCGCCAACTATTTGCGCCAACTTTTTGCTCCTATAGCTGTTGTGATTTCTCATATTTTTCATAAACCTTTTATTTTCATTTGCGCCAACTTTTTGCTCCTATAGCTGTTGTGATTTCTCATATTTTTCATAATTAATCCTGGTTACATTTCATTAACATACTTTATTATTTTTATATTAAGCACTTATATAGTTTGGGGGATGTTTATTATCTCCCCAGTTTTGTAACTTTGTATCTTATTAGTTTTCGTCATTAATAAATGACAATTTCAGTCATATGGACTTAACCTACTTAATTTGGAGCAAAAACAGAGCTTCGTTGTGCTTGTGAACATTTGGCTACATAAAGGCCCATTAGTTAAATCAGTAAGTCACTGAAGTATTTTATTTTTAAAAATCATTGTAAAGACACGTCTGATCAAGAGAAAAGATACTTCACCTAAAAGTCACAGATGTATTACAACACTGCAGCGAAAATCTAAAGCACAATTACGTTTGCATAAGAAAATATAAACAAATTGTAGGTCTATGAAAAGTTACATGTTTTGCGCACCGAATTACGGGTGGCATTATTTTGGGTTACCCAGTATTTGCAACTTCGTGGACATCCTGGTGTGTAGATTTAGTGGAAATGTAGCTTGGAGAAGATCAAAGAACGGTTCAAGCGCACAAGAGCGAAGAATTGCCAAATTTGCTTGCTGTCCTGGCGTCACAGGAGGGCTAGTAAAAACGTTGCGAATGGGATGGTGACAAGACAATTCTCTGTGATCATCGGTGCGATGGCGTATTATCTGCAACTGCTGTGCTTCTTAGCAACTGTCCCAGACGGTAAAGTATAACGTTTTATTTTACTGCATGCAGTCACTGATGTATTTGATTCAGATACTGAATAGCGATTTAAAATGATCAGTGAAGCTTAGCCCTATATAGGCAGCGTGTATGTTATATGAGTATTCTTATTTATTCTACTTTTTGTTTACATGTTACCCCTTGCAGCAATCCTGTTAGCATAAGATATAGGCTATCGCTTTTATGCATACGATTCCCAATTGTGCACATTTTAAAACATCCATGATCCAGCATTGTCGGTGAATATCATTGTCAACTGCACACTAGACCCCAGAGGTTGGTTCATTTTCGGCAAAGTAAAGATAATTCATGGTAAAATAGCATTTTTTAATAATCACTTAGCCTCATAAAAAGGGTCCCGCACAGAACCTACAACTAAACACAGGAGCTAGTATGGCAGTAAATCCCCTACCCAATATAAACAAATAGGAGTTCATTTGGTTGTACACTAACAATGGGCAGCCACATGTCCAAAATTACCAAATCTTGTTTATTAAACTTTCGGAATATTGGCACTATAAGAACATATCTGAATCAATCATCTGCTGCCACTCTTATACATGCAAAAGTCATTCTTAGGCTGGATTACTGCAGTTTTGTAGTACACATGAATGTCCAGATGATCAAATAAAAAGATTACCACGCATTCAGAATATTTCGACATAACTTTTAACCTTATCCATTTATCTATTTTTTAAAAAGTTTAGGTTTTACAGTCTACCAAACATTGTATGCATTTCATACTTAAAACAGACAAATAAATAAATAAACAAATAAATATATTATATTATATATTTATTTACCTATTCTCATAAACGCAATAGCCAGGGAAACGACCATTGATTTCTTTTCCGTCTTTCTTGGTCAAGAGGAAACAAATGCTATCTCGATAAACAGATATTTGATATAATACAATTGTTTCGTTTTCCGTTTACTTTTCCTGTCATGATGAGCGTGCCTGGTTTGTTATGTAAACGTTTATTGAACTAAAGTGCAACTGCATCCTCCTTACTGTGTAAAATAAGGAAGACATCTAGAACAAATAAGGGTACTTTAAAGAATGTGTCCCTTATGTGCATTTTCACCAGATGCAAATTTCTGATAAGAAAAAGATTCTTTATGCTGTTTTTCTCAACACTTTATTTGCACACATCAGAAATCACTCTATCGAGTTCCAAAAACACCCTTACAATATTCTTTGTTTTTTTCCCATGGCTCCTCACCAACTGAAGGTTAACATTCATCATTTTCATTTTCTTTCCGCATTCAACAACTTTTTGAGTACTTGAGTAGTTTATTTTTCATTTCGTATTAGATGCCCTCCATCTGTAAATACTTTTGTTAAATGTAGCCTAAAATCTTATTTTGCTAAATTAAAACGATGGCAAACCCATGCACTGTCTCGTAAGCGTCGGAGTCTACCTTTTTTTCAACATTCTATGTCGGATCCACATATGGGACACTTTGCCCTCTGCCTGTCTTATACGTACAATGTTTTGACCGAGCGTTTCATAGTGCACGTGTTTCAGTGTCTCTCCCCCCCCCCACCCTTTGATCAACTCCAACGCCCTGCCTCCGCAATGGCTAATTATGTGGATCCTCCAATGACTCATTGCTCTTTTCTCTCTCCTGTTAGACAGAATGGGAATCCATACACATATAATTCCGGAAAGACCTATAGGAAGCATCTTTAATATATATATATATATATATATATATATATATATATATATATATATATATATATATATATATATGCACTTTTGTTGTCCCTAGGAATTCCGGCGACAACTTTCATCAGCCTTTCAGTGGAGATAGGCCAAAGTGCCCATCTCCGCGTGCCTTACTCGGACGTCAACCCAAAATGTGACCTGATAGCGGCTGTCTGGTCTCGTCGTGACAGTGAACACATCCTGTTCAGTGTGACAAAGGCCAATGATACCACGTACGGTGAGGATATTGGGACTGTCAGAGGAAGAGTGGACAGTGAGATCACGCCGGATGAAGTTGTGTTCACCATTCGAAATGTTACCTGCGCTGATGAATGGCGTTACGAATGCAAGGTATACTGCACTCATCGAACCACCTTAGAATACGAAGTGAACTTGACTGTAAAAGGTAGGGTACCACCTCACAAATTGGGCTCATTACTAAGTCATTTAAAATTCATTCACAGAAATATACAAATAGAACGTAACTTAGGCGACATTTGTAAGCGAACGATTAATTTTATTTAAGATGAATTGAACTTTCATAGGACCTTGGCAGAGATATTATGTATAAATTCAATTTATTTTATTGATAGGCCTATGAAAAATTGCAATAGGGTTTCTTAAAGGTACACAAAATTGCATCCGCTTTTACTGTATCATGGGACATTTTGGCGGTGCAAATGCTTTTGCTACTTTTCAGAAAACCCCGGACAACCGTATATAGAATGGCAACTCCGCAACGAGTCCGGCCAAGTGGATATATACTGCGCAGCTGATGTTGTGTGGCCTGCGAAGCAAATCGAATGGGAAAGCCGCTACAGAGGCACCGTGACACGTGACAAGTCCCCGGGATGTCCACCACGTGAGGTCAGCATTTTCACAACCACTCTATACGCAGAGGAAGATGGCACCGAGTTCTTCTGCCGTGTTGGAGAAAGAAAAGTCTCAATGGTCTTTGGTCAGTATGGGTCAGTTCTTCTAAATGTGATTTAACCTTTTTACTGAGAACTTGATTGTGGTTTCTACTGTTTGTAAATTAACGGAGTTACCGAGAATATTCCTAATGGTAGGATCAAAGGCAGACCAATTAAAAAAAATTAAACCTTCATTCATGCACCACAACATAACAAGATTAAATCTGTGGCATATCCCACTCGTTTTACATGTATTACAGAAACGGCGCAGAAGCCGCGCATATCTATAGTATCAGTACACGGGAATGTGTCAGGGAATATTCCAAGTGGCAAACTCCGTCTGGGAGAAGGGGCAGAGGTTACACTCACGTGCACATCTGAAGGAAACCCGCCACCTATTTATAAATGGAAATTCAGTCCAACTTCATCCGCTTCCCATCAAGAAAAGTTTATCCAACTTTCCTGGAATACGACTGCTATTGTTGTACGACATTCCAAAGAATCAGAAGATGGATTTTATATATGCGAAGCCCTGAACTCTTTCACACAAGTCGCAGATGTGAAGAGAGCGTCCCTACTGATAAACATGACTCGCATGACTGGTAGGACAATGGCACTGAGAGATTCTAGTAAGTCAATTTTATTACCTTACGGAACTAATAATTACAGCTGGCAAACTTTGGCATCTTATAGACGCTTTAGGTTTATCTTTGTATTTCAAATTAAGACAAAAGCTGTCTGTAGCCTCATATTGTTCATTGCAGCTACGCCCACTTGTTTATATCAGCAGCTTCTAGTGTCGATTTTAATTTATTATTAGTAAATATCAGATGATGCATTTGAAATGTAGTACCCACTTTGGTATCAATATTTATTTGTTTCGAAAGCAAATGGAATTGTTTTGTTCAAACATTTCGTCCCTTATGGTAATGTTTACTTGTTTGATTTTAATTCATTTTTGAATTAATTGCTGAAGGTTCAATGTCACTAAAAGAACGAATCAGAGAGATAGCAGTAAGCAGCGCAGTGGGTTTCCTCGTCTTGATAGCTATCTTGGCTATCTTGGTTGCTGTTTTGTGTCACTGCAAAAAAACGAGGGCCCGCCAAGTAGGTAATGATATTTATTATTTTGAATGTCATGTTTTATTCATCACAAGACATGCTTTGAGTGATCGGGAAAATAATGTTTGATACATTTTAAGACTTTTACTTCAAACAGTAGTATCAACCCAGTAACCCTTTCATTAATATATATTCTATATTACAGTCCTTTTTCACTCTTTTTTATTCAGGAACAAGGAATTTGTTACTGAATGTAGTTGAATATCGCAATGGACAAGAAAGGTAAAAAAATGAATATGCTCACTACAAACACATGTAAAAAGTTCCGCTTAATATGAACATTAGAGAATAGGTACATGTAGGCCTATAACACGTAGAATAATTAAGCCTGCATGTGATATAAATTACTTAAGCTACTTCAAATTTTTAAAATGATTATAATACTTTACTAATACACGACTTTAGCAATACACGACTGGCATAATTCACAGTATTCCAGATGCAAACACATTCTCATATATGCTTCCCGTGTCTCGGTCTGATGAATGCGAAGTGCTCCGTAAACCAAAACCAGCAGCACCCCATAAGCATTCTACAGTGGGCCACATCAATAATTCCCTCTATGTCCTGTCGTCCAATTCACGGGTGGAGTTATTGAATGAACTGGGCAATGGTTTCTATGGAACAGTGTACAAAGCCTTAATGAAAATCCCTCAAGGGGGAGTTCAGGTCGTCGCAGCAAAACTTTGCACGGGTAAGTGATTTAGAGAAGATGCTGTAGGACGCAACTTTAGACAATTTGAACTTTCTCTCCTCCTGTCAGATTTTGACCGTTCAAAAGAAAAAAATGTGTGTCACTGTCAGGCATGCCTGTCATATTCCTGCTTTGAATTTAACTTTATTCCATATTCTAAGCAGTCCTACTTTTTAATGTTTCCTATGCTCAGTGTGCGTTTTTGTGACGTATTTATATTATTATTATTATTATTATTATTATTATTATTATTATTATTATTTCCTACATTATAAAACACATTATGATCCTTCTACTACTGCTTCCAATTTTAAAATATAAGAAAGAACAAAATAACGTATTTCTCTAAACATTTCTTCAATTCCATTGACCATGGACGGTGTATATGCACTTGTAGATATCCTCTACCAGGGCCACAGATTGATTTTTCATTAGATATTCACAGATAATGTCTCTGGCGTAATATGGTCAATCTTCTAACTAGGAGGCATTGGCCTGCAGGACATGGAACTGGAGTTCATGCGGGAAGCAGAAACAATGCAGATGGTGCCAAAACACCCAAACGTGGTAGACTACATTGGATACGTACAACGAGACAACGGATGTGGTATAGTTGTTTATTTATATCAACTGTGATTCACTGTAAATAAACAGTCCCACAGAGAGTGCAATTAAGCATTAGGGATGACCCTGTCTGAAAGTAATTTGCACTTTAAATATCTGTACACATTATGGCCGCATTCACATCGAGAACAGCCGAGGCTCTACAAAGCCAGGACCTAAATATGGCGGACGTACATGAAAGGAAAACCGCCTAATCTTTAAATAGTCTCTCCGCCTCTCACACGCCTCCCCATGCGTCGTCCCTGCGGGGGTACAGTCTTTAAATCTCGGCTCCACTGGGACGACGCATGGGGAGGCGTGTGAGAGGCGGAGAGACTATTAAAAGATTAGGTGGGTTTTCTTTAATGTACGTCCGCCATATTTAGGTCTCGGCTATGTAGAGCCTCGGCTCTTCTCGATGTGAATGCGGCATATTATACATAAATTCCACTTCTTATGCTGTAGAGAAAGTCAGGAAATTTCAGGGACTTTAAAGGACAACTTGTCTCTACATATAAAGCAGTATTATTTTATAACACTGTGTCAAGAAAAATCAAATAATTTCGAAATCATTAACTATAGAGATTTTATTTGCATTAGGACCATCAATGATTCTCTTGGAGTATGCCTCAAACGGCGATCTACTGACGATACTGCGGAGCATGCGCCACAATACCCTTCAACCGCATGATATGTTATCCTTCGCACTCCAAGTAGCCCAGGGCATGGAACACATCTCTAAGTTCAATGTAATAATTCAAAATTCATAGTCCATCAGATTTGCCAACGAGCTTATATATATATATATATATATATATATATATATATATATATATATAAGACAAGGAACAAATTTGTCTTTTCTCTCCATTTAATTTAGAATTTAAAAAGCTCGACAAGCAGGGTAGAGCACTTTTCCATAGTGTATCAACTTTATTCTCCGTGATATATATATATTTTAATATATATGTTAAAACACTAAACTGAAAATACTATATTAAAACAAAATATCAAAGGACAGAAATTTGGCCGGAACATTTACTACGAGCAGGGTAGCATATTAAGTAATCACAATATTACATGAGCACGAAAAACATTGGCTTTATTCACGAAGATTGTTTGTAAAATTACGTACAATTTAACTGTACAGTATGGATACTAGCGGCACTTAATCGACCAACACATTCACTTAGCCCAGCTGGGGCTCACAGGCATGGTTTTGCCGTTAGAACCTACATTGGTGTTATATACAATATTTCCAGTTGCTTCACCGAGACCTGGCTGCCCGTAACGTCTTGGTGTTTCCTGGTAAAACGTGTAAGATATCCGACTTCGGCCAGGCACGCTACATGGCGCGGAGTAGAGGAGAATATGAACGCAGGTCCGCAGTAAGTATGATAAAATAAACCATATTGCATATATTCCACAAAAACGTTTACATATATTTATTGTTTCTAATGAAGGTAGCTAAAGGATAATTCCCTTGCACGTTTTACAGTAAATGAACAAAATATCTAAATATCAGGTTTTTCTAGACTGTTAAAAAAGAATATGATGAAGCAGCAGTAAGCTCATGATCGAAGAGTTCGATTTTTGGTAAGACAGGCAACTTTTCAAATAATTATTCCCAAAACATTATCTACATAACCTTTTTATGAAATATCCGTTGTTAACGAAAATACTTGTATATTAAGTAAAAATAAATGAAAACTGATAATGTGAGTGTATTTGGGACATTTAGGGACCACTTCCGATCCGCTGGATGGCGCCAGAGTCGATCACAAATAATACATACACCACAAAGAGTGATGTGTGGGCATTTGGGATTCTAATGTGGGAAATCGTTACATTGGGTAAGTATAAAAACCACACACGCACACGTGCGCGCGTACAATAATGCTCAGCATAATTACACTCTACAACTGAATTACTTTGTATTTTATGGTCGTTTGTAATTGAATTGTGCTCTGTATTCATGACCTGCATTTAAAAGTAAATTTGTCTGCAAAATATTTAAATAGGTTTTACAAATTTTGCTAAACGATGCTCGTACAAACCAAAGTCAATTAACATAAAATATTACACATACTGAGGTGTTGGGTGTCTGCTATAATTGTTCGAAATAAAAAAAAAATATTGCCTTTAAAAAGCCATGCATTAAATGCAACGCAGAATATACGTGTTCATTGTAACGCATTTAAGCAAAGAAAATAATCAGTAGTATGTCATAATCCACTCACAGGCGTGTACGCACTTTTTGACTGTATTGACAGGTGCTGTCCCCTATAGTGGCTATGGTGGGGAGGAAGTCGTTACCTTGGTGACAGAGGGGCGCTCAGAGGCCTTATTGGATTTCCCGGCAGATTGCAATCCAGCAATGTGAGTCTCATTAAAATGTCAGAATTCTCTCGGGCTGGGCTAGAGGGGAGGGCTGGGTGCTAGCTGTCAAATATACCAACACAATGTTTCCTTTATATTTTTATTCTTAGTTTTATTATATATAGTTGTTGCTCTAGTTGTTACATAACGAAGCCGCGGGTCACAAAGTTACCTCCAAGAAAGCAGCATCTACATTTCAGCCCGTCAAAGCACATATCATAATGAATCTCTCTGCATCCCACTCCCACGAAAAAAAAAATGCAGTTGAATTAATATTTGTATTAAACCGTTTTCAGAGCACGACTGGCGAGAGAATGTTGGACAAGGGTGCCACGTGATCGCCCGGACTTTTCGTCATTGGCTGCTTCATTGTCGGCGCTTAATGTCGGTGGGAACACTTACATACACATGCAGCCTGCCAAACCACAAACCAGAAACGAGTATGAAAATTACACCAGCGAAACACGTATAAAATGTTAAGTCGTCTTGACTAAAACGCTTCCTCCGGAATGAGAGACTATTTCCAAGTCAGTTGCATTGAATACATGGTCTTTATATGGATCAAGACACACTGGGCTTACTTATTTCTTGTTAGAACAATACACCCTTGTACAGATATAGCCGATTAAAAAACCTACGATTGAGGACTTAGCTACCAACTGAAATGATTGTGCAGCACTATATAAAAAATTCTTACTCAAGAGTTTCACGCTGTTTTAACCTGTAGCGATATATATATATATATATATATATATATATATATATATATATATATATATATATATATGACAAAGTCGCCAAACCCCGCTGTATTATCAAAGCGTGCGAAATAAAAAAAAAATATATATATATATATATATATATATATATATATATATATATATATATATGCCCTTGCTGCGTCTAGCGCTAAGCTTCTGTCATTTTACTCGACAAGAAATGAGAAACCATGCAGCATATATCTTCTCCGCCCAGAGTTAAACAGGATTAATAACAGGCATCAATGGACATGTAGGTGGATTAATATTCGACTAGTCAATGCTGCTTTTATACTTGCAAAACCCAAATCAAATTTTAGTATTTTACCTTAATAAATATCAGAATGGTAATTTCAGATGATTTACTGGAGCACAGAAGTATGACGTGGCTGAGGCTTTAAGGTAGTCATTTACTTAATTGCGTTTTTGCAATAAAAGGATAGAATTACACTGCAGTTGTTTATACTTCCTGTTTTATTTACATCGACATATTTTAGTAAATTTATAGCGTAAATCGAAACTGAAATAGTTACTCATATAATTACACTTTCCTGATCCGTAGCCGAAGTGGGGGAGGTACGGGGGGGGGGGGGGGGGGTTCGAACGAACCGCCCTTTTTGCCAGGAAAAGGTCTGCTCTGGGTAGAAAATTGATTAAGATGGTTTCATGGTAAAGGGTCCATTTTTTTCAGGAAAAAGACCGCCATCCTTGAAATTGTTGGCTATGGACCTGTCTTAAGTGATTGTACTCTTATCTAATGTAGTAAAATTATATTTTTCTTGGAGCATTTGCACGCGTGTTTTGGTTCTCAGAGGCTCGCACTAAATATGCCATCATTTATTATGCTTTTTTGATCACATTGTGTCGAAATTCATCACGATTTCCTGATCTTCGGTAACTGGACGTTTTTTCGCAGTCATTTACAAGGTTTGTCCACCGTATGTATTCTCTGGTGGGTTTTACGTGCGCTCAACTGGACAAATGCCATGTCACAAAATCTACATTTATAAGGTCTGTCCCCTTTATGAATGCGCTCATGGATAATGAGATTATTATTACTTGAAAAAGTCTTTCCACAAAAGCTACATGCAAACGGCGGGACTTCCAAGTGAATATTCTCGTGATTTTTAAGCGCGTCTTTGGTGATAAACGTCTTATTACAATGCTTACACGCGTGCGGCCTGTAATTGGTATGAATGCTCTCGTGGCGGGCCAACTGGTGCTTCAAAGCAAACGATTTCTCACAAAATTGACAGGAGTGTGTCCTTTCACCATTATGGACGGACATGTGCCGCTTCAAATGTGCCTTTTGTTTAAACTCCCTAACACATACCTCGCACTTGTATACGTCTACGTGCCCAGTTAGTCCACCGTGGACGGTTCTTATATGCCGCCTTATGTGCGAGTTCTGAATAAAACGTTTCTCGCAGTACGTGCACTTATACGGTCTCTGTCCCGTGTGGCTGCGCATGTGCACTAACATCTCCTGTCTCCTAGGAAACACTTTATCACATGACTTACACGAGAACGAATCTTCACCCGTGTGCGTTCTCTCGTGGACTTGACGATACTTATTGACAGCAAAGCGTTTGTTACAATATCCGCACACATAAGGTCTTTTCCCAGTGTGGGTACTTTCGTGATTCTGAAGACCGGATTTTTTCACAAAAAGTCTGTTGCAAAATTGGCACTCGTGGGGGTGGCTCTTTCCGCTGTGCACTCTCTGGTGCAATTTATAATCCTGTTCTCTTGCAAACTTTTCCTGGCAGTTTTGACAAGTAAAAATCTTTATGTCGTTTTCTTCAATGTTTGCGTGTATTTCGCTGTCTGCCTTTTCGAACGTTGCATTTAATACCTCAGGGTAGATATTAACCTCTTCCTTTATTACCGTGACCTCATCTATAATATTATTCGCAGCGTCTTGTGCTAATGAAGTATTACTGTTTAAAGCTGGCCACGCAAAACTCACGTTAATATTACTATGAACCTCCTTTGTAGACGGTTTTATAAATTGTAGCGAACTCTGTTTTTGAATTTGTTCAGGATGACAATCTGCATAAGAATGCTTGCGACTGCGTGGAGGAGGGCACTTCAAGAGTGACCCATTTACAGCGATGATCGTTTTGGACGTCAGATCATCGGGACAGAAATCTCTTTTTTCCCCACATGAACCCCCACTTTCCCCGTCCCTGGTCGCGCTCTCACTCTCATGAGACTTAATACAACGACCACACCGAGCAGGCCTTGAAGTGCAGTTTTTTTCATTTTCGGCATCAGTGAAAACTACAACAAGTTTGCCGCAGACTTTACAATTTTTCTGCGGAATACGTACATCCCCTATTAGATGTACAGCTGTGGGGCGAATGTGGCGTAGCATCGCTGTTTTGACCCTAATAAGCGACTCACATTCATTAGGGCTAGATATTAATAGCATACATGTTAGTTTCAAGGCCTCAATGCCGTCATCACAAGTGGTCTTATTCCAATTACATTTTCCAGTTTCGTCCCTCAAACAAGTCTCCGAGAAGTGAAAACGAATTGTTAAAAAAATATGCGTACTGAAGGATTTTGACAGAAATGACCTGTGACGTATTCATTTAGTGTTTGTTCTCTTGTGGTGGCGTCTTTATCCATAGAACATAGCCAGAAGCACCACAAAACCTCGCCAGTAGAAACCTAATCTCTGTTTTGTCTTTCACGTGAATATACATGTATCTAGAAGCCTAGGAACGAACGATGGTAGTTTCGTAACCCCAGGATTATCCAAAACCCTTGCACAACATTTAGTGTCTATCTTGTCTAGGTTTTCATCTTTGTTTACTTACTGGTGCGACTACAGAAAGCCACTTGTCTTTATCTGCCACATGTTAATCTTGTTGTATGTTTCCTTTTCATGTTTCTCGGATAAAATTCTACAGGATAAAATTATTTTCTGTACCATGTTCCGACATTTTCATTATGAATGCCTCGTACTGGGTATCTGACATTCATTTTTCTCGATGAACAGTAAGTCCACTGTCCAAGTTGATGGTTGGTTGTTTATTCTACCCGCACGAAAATGCAGTAGTATCGAAGTAGCAAAGAAGCATTAACGCAGTAGTGGTGTGGAGCATATTTGCAGTAGAAATGCAGCATAGCCTACTGCAATTCTACTTCAAAAATTACATAGGGTTGTACAGAGGAGGAGCATTAATGCAGTAGATTTGCAGCATGATAGAAGCATGTTTCAAATATGCTAATTAGCTCCGCAGTCGAAGCAGATTTGAAGCATGTTTGCAGTAGAATTGCAGTAGTCTACTGCGCTGGAGTATCTACTTCGTTTGCGTGCGGGTAGTACCTAAAGTCCATCCTGTCTGTAATAATTTTTCTTCCTTGGCCTAAGATCCATGTGCCATCTTCCACTGGAAATACAATAAAAATATACCTGAGATATATTTAGAAAAGCGGTGCAAATCAAGTTATATGTGTAGGCCTACTCTGAGGCGGTGGAAAAGGCAGCGAATACAATATGAGTCATCCACGTGGAAAGCTTGAATGATATAGGTTAATTATATACAGTATGTTGGAATGATAAGGTAATAAATGGCATCCGCTCGCACTTCGCACTCGTGTACATGTATGTGCCGCATACAGCTCGCTGACTCGTGATTTGCATGTATTCGAATATCAAAATAATCAAGTGCAACTTGATGACAAGACACAGTCGATAAGCCTGATGTTTATCTGAGTGGCGTACCTTTGTTTCCCATAGTTTAATGTGTGTGTGTGTGTGTGTGTGTGTGTGTGTGTGTTGCTGACATGTGCACGCCGCTGCCACAATCTTAATGTGACGTTAGGGTCCAGGCAGTGGGGGGAAATTACGAGGCTGCATTTAAAGTCAGATCCATGTTACTTTCGTTGAAAATCTGCCTGTAAGTCTTACAGTAATGCAAAGCGTGATCACAGTCGCGCGTAAATGAATGCGTTTCAAGCACACACGCACAGCTAGACGTGATCATAAAAAATGTCTGATAACAAATATGTGTAAGAACAGTCTCCAATATGCGCCACACAAATTGACCTTTGATCGTTTTAGATTGTTTTTCGTGCCCCAGCTACGGTACAACCGTTTTACGGTGTTGCCTGTGAAAAGTTAGCCTTTTATGCCACACTTAAGTACTCTGTAATCTACAAACAACCCATATGAAGAACATTCTAAGGCTCGACTCCCAGCTAGATGCTCCAAGTGACAGGTGAAAGGCCGGTAGAATGCACAAGTCTATATAGGGATCAAGGTTAAGAGTTGGTTATTTATGAAGTGTATCGTCATTATATATGTCATTTATTCAAAAATTTAATGAAGACGGAGTGCCTAACTGACTACGAGAATTTCCGTCTTTGTATGTCTACACTTACGTGGTGTAATCGTCTTTTTTTGAAACGATGGTTCTATGGCTGGATATGGCTACATCTAACTACTCGGTGTTATGCAGACACTGACAGGAAATAAATGCATAGGCCTATTTATATATATGCTAGGTACATGTAACAGATATATAGGCTCCAGACGCGGTTAACCTGGTTATATAATATAACCAGCTACCATCCCAAACAGCAAGGTGAATATGCAGATTACAACGTAGCGCTCCTTCTACTAGTTCTAGCCAACGTATACAAGTTGACTCGGTTATATTCCCCACAGACATAAATTAATAGATCTACTTTTTACAGAAAAGGTAATTTGGAGATGAAAATACTTCTCACCTTCTCTTGAAGTCACCAATACTCCTTTTCATCAATGTGTGCCCTCACACTCTACGGGGCATCAGGTTGATTTGTCAGCTGTTTCAAGTGTTTATATCAGCAAATGCCAGAGTACACTCTGATTAGTTCCACGCGGGAATGTGCGCGCTCCATAAACTGTCTGTATCTGCAAATTTACCTTTTGTATTCTAACCATTACATGACACCAAATACTTACCAAATAATATGGACACAGCATTGTTTGTGAGTCTTAGGAGACCGCTATAAATTTTATACATCTGTTTTTGCATGATGTTATCTTGGGGAATTAGGTTAATACCATGCTATATAAAACGCCGTATGATGTGGACTTAAGGTTTTGTCCTGACTTAAGGTTTTCACATATCGGGTATACAAACGAACACCAGTAGGGAAGAGCCCGGGGAATTAAATAAATGTACCTCATTTGAGGGTGATCCAGTGTTTGTTTCTATTTTATTTGGATTTGTATCGTGTATTTTCCGACTTTCTGTCTCAGAAATCTCTATTAGTGCATGGAAGTATAGCCTATTAACCCATTACAGTGACGTCATATTTGCTCCGTAACACTAGTCCCGCGGCCATGCTGGAGGGAGTGAACGACGGGGAATAGTAGCGGTAATATTGGTGAACCAAATAAAATAAAATAAACTTCATATCGCGATCAAGTACACCAAAGGGAAAAGGATATATACAAGCCGAAGCTTCAGCTGCTCAGCAGGATCGACCAATATGAACTCAAGACAGTCTAAAAACATGAAATCCTACCAAATGCTACTTATCCAACATCGTGTTGTCAGAAGATAGTTCAGTTATCTTGTACTTCATTTTTCTTGTTCATTGGGTAATAACAGTTATAGTTTGAGAGAGTTTAATGTGTAATCATA